GACTCGTCGGAATGGGGCAGAGCCGCAGTGGAAGAAGGATCCAGTACCATCGGGAAAAGATAAGAAAAACAGGCTGCGAGAGATCAAAGAAGTGAGGATCAGGAGAGGAAGTCAGGGAACGGCAAGCACCCGTTTAAAACGATTAGGACTGCACGCCGTGAAGGTGATTACAACAGTCTGCGTTAGGCACAGGCCGCCTCTGGGACTGACGGCCCGGCCGTCCGGTGCTTTAGCACGGGCCGGTCCGGGTCGGTCCGGCGCCAGCATGGCCCTCCGCCTGTCGCCCGCCCGGCCGTCAGCCGTCATGCTCCTGCCGCCGCTGCCAGCGCCCCTGGCGGCCGGACGGCGAGATACACGCGTGCAACCGGCGAGGCGGTGCGCTCAATCTGCCTTCCCGGAAACCATTGATGGTGTTCGCCGAAAGCCTTGGTCTTATTGAAGCGGACTGGCGGCCGGACGGAGGGCACGAGCGGCCGACAGCACGCCACCAGTGCTCCCGGCGAGCTGATGTTCCGAGACTGATGGGTGCTGGGGTCACCAGCGGATCGCTCGTGAAACAGCCGTGAGCCGGGCAGGATAGGATGAGACGACCTATGGGGATGGCAGGACAGTGAAGCTCTAGAGTCACATCGAAGGAACAGGCACACAGCGCTGCCGCGGCACACTGAACATCAATGGGGTCAGCCTTCGGTGGCATATTTCCCATCACCCGTTCGGGTAACACAAGGCACTAGAGGTGGCAAAAGATGAAAATTTTGGGAACCAGACTCGAACCAGACCCGGCTGAACATTTCTGGAACCAGTCGGACCCGGTCTTAGTTGGAACCGGAACCAGTTGGACCCGTTCCCCAAAAGTCAATTAATACAATTAACTTGTAGGAATCATTAGTTGCATCATGTAAAACAGCCTATTTCCCACTGGGAATACTCATGAGCTATTGTGTGCAAAGAAACATTCACTTAATTCCCTTCATATTTTGTAATAATGTATAGTGTGCAAGATGTATAGTTTATGGTAGGACCCGGTTGGACCCGTCAGAAAAATTTCCAGGAACCGGTCTGGACCCATATGGGTCCAGACTGGTTCTTTGGACCGGGTCCTCGGGTCCACATTTTGCCACCTCTACAAGGCACAGCTCGGCAAGGAACAGTGGCCATGAACGAAAACAATAGCATGAATAGGATAAGTCTTTCTTATCAACTCATATGGGTTTATAGGTGCAGACTAGGCACCGTGACCCGGTATCAATGCATTCCCGCCCTCATTTCCCTCAAACAAACATTATCACTGCTTCAGAAGCTTCAAGAGCTCGTGCAGAAGCTGTGCTACGGGAAGTCACCGACGGTGGCTCTGACATTTGAGAAGCAAACTTTCAGTCTCAATCAATACCACCAGAAAATAGCATGTCGTTTCCACAAATCTACCAGAAGTTCAGAGGTCAAGTTTGGCGGCGGAGCCTGGCAGTGGCCAGACGATTCGGCGCCCATGCCATAAGTTCGCCGGCCAAGTTTCGCAGTTGACAGTTCGCCGGGTAGCGGTCCCGTCTCACGAATCTCTCTGACGATGCCTTCTCATGGGCATTGGTTTCTTGCAGCGTTCAGGACTGCCCGCGGAAGTGTTGAGGGTGACTGGTGAGGTGCACCTGCCACAAACGGCAGGACCACCAATGTCACCACCGGAACTATCACCATCAGCACCATCACCAACAGTCCCCGCCAGTGCAGTGGCAGCTGTGTGCGGCGGGGCGGCGCGCGGCGGCTACCGTCCGCCCTGCACACCCAGCAGTCATTCAGCGCACACACGGTATGCCAGTGCACGCCGGGTGGGGACTGGGGTCGGGCAGAGGCCGGGAGCGCCGCGCCTGCCCGGCAGAGCAGGCAGCGGCCGAGCTGACCGCTGATCAGGCGGCGCGCGGACCGGACACGGGTGGAGGAGCCCCGCCGGAGCCACCGGAGCAGGGAGTCCCGCCGGCAGTGTCGCGACAGCAGCGTGCAAACAGTTTGCTCTGCAAACCTCCGCCCCGTTTGTATACTCCCCCGATAGCGGCACGGATGGCGCGGCCGGCGCGTGGCCGCCGGCGCCGCTCAGAGTCCCCGGGCGCGACTCGGGGGCGCCGGCAAGGCCACGGCTCCGGGCGCCGGGAGCGTGGCGCCGCGGCGCCCAGACGGAACGCCCCGGGATGCCGATCACTGAGGGACCTCTGACCACCGGCGGACCCCCGTCCCGCCGCGCAGTTCACCGACGGCAGAGCGGTGGCCGTATCGGCGGCGCCATCTCCCACTCTCGCCCGGTCGTGACACAGCCCGACCGGCCCGCTCGTCAACGGCGCATCTCCTGCCGACGCGGCCGGCGCCACTTTCTTCACCGTGTCCAACACAGCCCAACTCGGCGCCATGGATCACGCTAAGCCGCTGCCCGGCCAGCCCAGGTCACGCCCAGTTTTCCGTCCCGGCCCGCGCTCGCCGGACCGAGTGCATGCTCACACTCCGAGCCGGATTATGTCGGGGATTAACCATCTGGTTCCTGGTGCCTGGCAGAGCCGAAAAACGGAGTCATCAGTCGATCTTGGAGAACTTAATGCGAGAGATTCTTTTGTTATATACCAGATACCATATCAAAAGTAAGTCGCACTTGCGCACACGGTTTGCTGATGGTACCTACTCATCCTCCTTTTAGGATCATACGTCTCACATGATGGAGCCTCCGTAGCCTTTCCTGAGAAACGCACACAGCTACCACAGATCCACGCACTGTCTTAAATAAAGATGCGTCTCATACCTCCTCCAACTGCAGTACTGCCATGAGTTGCGCACACTGCACACTGCACAGAGTTGCGCGCGGCGCCGCCAAACGAGACCAGGACCAGACCGGACCGGGCCGGGCCGAACCCGGCACAGCCGAGAGCGAGGTGAGAGCGGCCACTGATCCGCCGCTTACAAGCCGGATGTGGTGCGGCCCGGACCGGCGCGGCTGCTCAGGTGCCAGCCGGCCGCTCCGGTGACGCTGCCCGGAGAGGATCCGCGCCGCCCGACCCGCCAGCAGCGCCGCGGCGCTGATCAGACGGACCAACTCTCCGAAGGACGGCCGCATGACATCCTAACTGCAGAGACTCCGAGCGAGCAAAAATGGCGCCAATGGCGGCTGTGCGGCGCGGCGCATCTGCAGCGGTCAGATAGCGATAACCTGTCCACATGGCGGACAGCGCTAAACACATCGACCCGAGCGGCCGAGATAGGCGCACACCACGGACCGAGGAGGTAAATCCCGACTCTGTCAGAGCTCAGAGAGAGCACATTGGCATTCTGAGCTTCAACACTGGATGTGGCTTGACCGATTCACGAAAATCCGATCAATACCCACTCCGGTATGACCTCAGTTCGTGGAAACTCAATGTAAAATTGACCAGCAGCCTCCATTCAGTAATTGCATTTAGCTGCTTTAACCTAGCTCCGGTTTCTTTAGAACCGAGAGTTGAGCGGTCGGAAACTAAGCCGCATACTTCGGCGAGCAGTGTAAAGAAACGTTTACCAAGTAGGTGACGGACGATTTTACATACCTCCCCTGACCGAAGGTAATTGGCCTTACGAATTATTAACCGTACGAGCTTATCTTACTGCTTATGCGCTCTGTCATATACTGGCTCGCTTTCAATGAGCTAATATTGACATAAAAGGTTCACATTCACTGGCGGATTCAGAGGGCATTTAGGGCCATCAATAAAAACCAACAGTGGCCAATGGGCAAGATATCACATGCAAGCGCCAAACGACTGAGCCCGAGCCGACGAGAAAGTCAACTATAAAGTGAACAAGCTTTTCGAACTTGTTCTTCCCTTCTTCCCCAGCCGTCAGCCACGCAGTCAGAGCCCACAAGTGGGGCGGTGGCTTTAGCTGCCTGCCTATCAGACTACCTATACCGTCTAAAGCCGGGATTACATCCACACACTGAACCTATTGATACATGTTATGACAGATGCTGCCCGGATTTTACACACAGGTTCCGAGCTGGAGCGCATATGCAGCCCCAGCTTTGCGTGGTTCTTGCTGTCACCTGACAGGCAGCAAAGCCTGGCATCCACTAAAAAGGATGCCCTTGGGCCCTTGGCGTTCTGAAGAGTGAAAATCCAAGGATTGGAAAGCGAATATAACATCTTTTACAATGAACTGAAGTCTGTGAATGTACTGGAGCTCCACCAGAGCGGTTCTTGGGATCAGCATTCCTGGGCTTCAAATAAATCTGAGGTCAGCCTATCGGTAGGTGTTCGCTGCCGATAGAAGCACGCGTAATCGCGACTCTGGGAGAGCGGCAGTATCTGTCGCCGCGGTATTTAGGACCAGTGATTCATCGTATCAATGTTCAGCTCTCAGAGAACCTGTCGACCCTCCTCGATGGGGTCGGGGATGTGAGGGATCAGGCGTGGGGGAATCCGCGGTACAATTTTTCATGTTTATTTTCAAGAGATGTTGCTACGTTTCTTCACCTCGACACCGCGGCGTTTCTCGACAGCCCGTGGTACGGCGCGCCGCTCACATTCACTCCATGAGGACCGGGGCCACGTCACCCCCGTCCCCACGCCACAGCTGTGCACCAAAAAACGGCCGTACCTAGCGCGCGTCACAGGTGGTGACGCGGCGGGTCACCCCCCCCCCCGTCCCCCGGCCCGCTGCGGCGCCGGGCTGCCGGGCCGTGACGTCACCGTCTGGGATAAATAAACGGCCGGCGCTGCGGCGGCGCTATCGGGGTGTCCGGCAGAGCGAGGGCCGCCCGCCCGCCCGGCCGGTCGGCGCAGCGGCGGCCCGCCCGCCGCCGGACCGGCCGGCCAGCCGCCAATAACGGAATTCCTGCGCAATGCCCGCCAGGGCTGGGCCTGAAAACCGGCCCAGCGCGACCGGAGCTGGGTGAAAACCGACAGGGACAGACCCACACGGGTCGCTGGTGACGAGTGGTGCATGCACACGACGAAACACAGTCGTTAGTGGCGGGTTCAGCCGGCACTTACCTCGCACGGTCCGTTATTGGCGACTGCTCCGACTGTCCGTCCGACCCCGCTCAGCGCCGTGCGCGGCTGCCAGAGCCCCAGCGATGGACGATGGCTTTCTGCAGCGATCCCCACTCGCCGCCCATTCCCCGGCGCCGCGCGGCCGCGGTCGCCAACGCCAGCACTGTCTCGTCTGACCCTCCGGGCCGTCCGTCTCGGGCGCGTCACCCCTCGAGCACCGCCGCTGTCACACAGACGGTACTCCACTCGCCCGGCCTGTTTGGATTTGTGACGTCATCGCCAGCGATTCGTTGAAGGTCGTTTGCCAGATCATCGATTCATCACGCTGCTAGCGACACCTGTCAAGGAAAGAAGAAAGCTGAGCTTAGGTAGATGCCGCCACACAGCAGGCAATAACATAGAGGGCGGTCCACTCCACTCACAGCAGGGTCCATATTTATTCACTCTGGTTACCAAAACAATGCTGATTGCTGAATGTAGATTATTTGGCCTTACAATGCCAATAAGCTTGAGAAACATAGGGACGCAACTCAATATTCATGGTCCAAAGCTGTAACCCTAACCCTTCCTTATTGACCTTTGACAGGCACAAACAAAAACAGCAATTATCAATAAATAAGCTTCACTTTCTCTTTAAGAAAATGACCATATTTTTAGCTATATCAATAAGAATCTTAATTCTGTACATGCACCACAGTCCTGCTGAAGTTCTACTCAAGATAATTGCGAATGCTGCTTACGCGGACCCCTGCTTCGCTATTTTGATTTGCCGATGAATTACAAGAATACTCTCATCGTGGCTTTCTTTGAGATTATATCAGTCCCAAAATGTACTGAACTCAATGTATGTATAAATGACTGAAATGAGGCTATTCCTAATCTATACGCTTCCTACAGGCAACAACAGGCAACATTCTATTTTCTCACTTCTCAATCTTGATCTTGAATCTTGATTACCTTGATCTTTCATAAGTCAACAAAGCAAGTCGAAGACGATTGTGTTCAACATAATCATGATCGGCGCAGGGGTAAAAAAGCACTGTTCATCTGCTTGCTTAGGAAGATTTGATTGGTCGGTATAAGAAGGTCGTCACCAAATATTCTCAAGAACCAATTTTAGAACATTTTTAATGTGACAACTGCGCCAGATATGCAGAAAGCTATCGCTGGCACTTGCTTTCGGCTTGGATCGCTCAGTGTTTTTATATACAATTGATATTGATTATTGCTGTAGAAAAATGGGGTGAAAAGTGGGGATTCTGAGGACAAATACCTTGAGGAAGTTCCTTCAGCTTTCATGAACAGGAAGAAGTGCAAGGCTTATGTAACCAGTACCTAGTTTTCATCTAGTTACCTACCTACTTGCCTGCAACCAGAAATTCAAGATTGAGGCAAAAGGAAGGCTTGAGACGATACAGGGCTGCATAGATCACCTCAGGCATGTGTCTATGATTTTGAACTTTGATCCTAGTGAGTTTTTATTTATTAAAATAACTCAATTTTGATATGCAATGGATGTACCTACTATTTTTTGGATTCTGTCTGAATAAATCAGTGGGCACCGATAGACTAGAATCTGAAAACAAGGTGCCTGGGGAGATCTGATCAAGGCTTTTGAAATTGTCACGTGACAACCCATTGCAGGCCAGACTGAAAAAATATACGTCATGCCGAATATGTCCAGCGCAGCGGCGGGATTGTGCTGAAAATTTCAGCGCACATCCAGCGCAACTTCGCATGCGCCGAATTGAGCACATGGCGGCGGGTGAATTTTTTGGTGCAGGGCCAGACTGGAAAAAATGCACGTTATGCTGAATATGTCTGGCGTAGTGCCGGGATTGCGCCGAAAATTTCAGTGCACGTCCGGCGTAACTTCGCATGCGCCGAATTCAGAGCATGGTGGCAGAAGAATTTTTTGGCGCAGGGCGGTTGCATAATTTTTTGGCGAAAGACGGTCACCGAATTTATACGTTACGCTGGTCAAGCTCGCAGCAGATTCGCCCCGGGGGCGGCTCTGGAGAGGTTGCGGGACGAGACGTCCCCGCCCCGGTCGTCGCGTGCTCGAACTGGCGAGCCGCCCTGAGTCTACTCAGTGGATGAATGGCCGCCCAGGTGAGGCCTCAACCTTCGGCGTAGAGATAGGTACGAAAAACCTTGTTGAACGTCGCCAAGCGTCGTTAAGCAATAGCAGTGGGTTCCAGCTGCCCACTGCAGTATCGAGGGGAATGAGAGCGCGGACGACCTGGCCAAAACAGGCGGCCGCCCTGCCCTCAAACGCTCGATCGCTGACCAGGGTGGTTCATTGTGCGGCCTCGCATCAGTGGCGCGACAACTGCTCAGAATCACTATTCAAGCCACTCCTCGGGAGCACGCCGCCGCTCCCTATCCCCGGAGAGGACCGAGAGGATGCCATTCGGTGCACCAGATGAGGGCGGGCCACCGGGGCCGCTCGCTCCAGAACGGCAGCGAATCGGCTGTCTCCACTCCGCCGCGTGCCAGCAGTGCCCAGACAAGCGGTGCCCAGCGGCGCTCTGCACCGTGAGCCGAGAAGAGGCTGATGTGCCGGAGCACGTGCTGCTCCGCTGCCCGGCCCTCACTGGCTCCCGCCGAGATATTGGGTTTACGTGGAAATAAAAACTCATTCGAACGCTTAAGCATGGGAGAGCGTACAAGGCTCCGAAACACTCTGTCTGGTTGATATTGCCTTGATCAGTAGATGTGCACATGTGCTTTTTATGACATGGGCTTAATTTTCGCACAAATAGGCACCTAATTTTTTGCGCAAATCACGCATAAATTTTGGCGCAAAATCGCTTGCGCCATATTTCGGCGCAAGAGGGTCTCACGGGCGTCCGGCGTAGAGTATGGATGTTTTCCGGTCTGGGCAGTGGGCGCAGGGCAGTCACATAATGTTTTGGCGAAATACAATCACCAAATTTATGCGGTCTTTACATGTAAAAGTTCCTTATCCTGCATCTTTGTTCATTTCTATCCATGGACCATCAACCCCTGGACAACCTCTGGAACAGTATTGGCTCACACTGCTGTGATATCTAGCTGGCTTGGCGAGGTCTGACCTGGTTTTCTGTCCCCAGTGGTGTACTGACACCTGTGTGACATAGGCAGTATGTACTGCTGGGGTGGCACGGTCAGCGGTGAGCTGGGACTTGGCGGCATTGAGGAGCAACAAGTGCGCACTCCTCGCCACCTGGCCACCCTGCCGGCCGGTACTCAGATTGTCCAGGGTAGGTCGGTCCCTGCAGACACTCAAATTGGACCTGGTGGCTGCACCATACCAGATCGTCAAGTTACCAAAGTGTCTTAATTTAAAATGAATCTGAAGTGTTGGTTGTCACAGTAGCATAGTTTTCTTGTGAGATGTGTGATTCCATTTTTATCAGACTGTGTGACATTTCTCATGTTTCATATCAGTGAGTTAATATGCCGATATGACTTGCTGAGGCCAATGGTGTGTGTCTGCGTGCTGCAGTGGCCTGTGGATACAACCACACGGTGTTCTTATCGGCTGAGGGGTCCGTCTTCACGTGCGGCAACAATGAGCGCGGTCAGCTGGGTCACAGCGGACAGACCACGCGGCCAGGTACCGTCCAAAGTCCACCAGCGGGTGGCAGCATCTGACCACCCGCCACCGTCAATATCTACCGTTAGATTTCTGGTTTGCGATTTTAACCGGTTTGTAGCGTGTGAATCGGACGTTTTGTAAAACGTTAAAGTTTGGTATTGTATACCTATCGTTATACCCTTAGGCTTGCAAAGTGCCATTGCTGGTGTTGCTGAAGATCAGGATGCTGATTGCTGACACATCATTTGCAGGACACGTGTAATTGTGTAAAGCAGCTAACACACTCATAAGCCCAGCAGATGGTGAACCATGCGTAGGCACTCTGCGTCACCATAGCCGCGCTGTGACCGTGTGTTCTGCTCGCCGCTCCGCAGTGCTGCTGGAGAGGCTGGAAAACTACCCGGTGGCGCAGGTGGCCGCCGGGGATCAGTTCTCACTGGCAGTCACCCGCTGGGGAGGGCTCTTCTCCTGGGGCGACAACCGGCATGGGCAGCTAGGTAAGGAGGATGAGGGCAGAGCTGAGCTGAGGGGTGACAGTCGACACGGACAGTTCAGTAAGGAGGGGGGGGGGGGGGGGAAGACAACTGTTAAAACTTTGCTTCTGATTGTTGATAATAATCGGTGGTAGGTGCTAAAGTAAAGTTTTCTTTCTCCGTTACTGTGGTACCCCAGCCCAGCTGAGCGACCTGTGTCTGTCTCTGTCCCGCAGGCACCGGCGACCCTTCCGAGTTCATCCAGCGGCCGCGCCAGCTGAGGGCGCTCGTCTCCAAACGGGTGGTACAGGCTGCCTGCGGACAGGCGCACTGCCTCGTCCTGACAGACGGTAGGACTCACACGGGAGGCGGGTCTGCGCTCAGACTGGGTGCCGTGGGACTGCGTGCTGATGTTTCCATCCATTAAATGTCATCAATACTTACATTGAAATAGCTTGTAAAGTAAATGCGAGAGTAAAACGGTTGGCTCTCTAACACAGTCTGTAGTACAGTTTCCCCGCTGAACATACGTCCACCCCTGTGCCGACAGACGCCGGCTGAACTTCAGTTTGCCGCCTCTGCCGACAGATGGCGAGCTGCTGTCGTGGGGCTCCAACGAGCACGGCCAGCTGGGCCAGGGCACGCTGGGCGGCCCTCCCGTCTCCCAACCCCGCCTGGTGGCTGCACTGGCCGGCCTGCCGCTCGGCCGCGTGGTCTGCGGCGGCCACCACTGCCTGGCCGTCACCAAGTGTGGCCGCGTGCTCGGCTGGGGTCGGAACGCGCTGCACCAGCTCGGTCTGAGCAGCGAGCAGGACCAGCCGACGCCGGTGGCCATCCGCGGCCTGGGCACGCAGCGCGTGCGACACGTGGCCGCCGGCGAGAACCACTCGGCGGCGCTGACGCGCGAGGGCGCCGTGTTCACGTTCGGCGCCGGCATGTACGGCCAGCTGGGCCACGGCGGGAAGACGAACGAGGTGCACCCGCGCCAGGTGATCGAGCTGATGGGCAGCGCCGTGTCGCAGCTGATCTGCGGCCGCCAGCACACGCTGGCCTACGTGTCGGCCGGCGGCGCGGCCGGCGGGAAGGTGGTGGCGTTCGGTCTGGGCGGCTCCGGTCAGCTGGGGGTGCCGGACACTCCGCTGGCGCGCACGCCGGTGACTGTGGCCGGCCCGTGGACACGGACTGCAGAGGGGACCGGCAGCGAGGACTGGCCGAGCGGCGGTGGGCCGCTGCGGCTATTCTGCGGCGGCCACCAGAGTTTCGCGGTGCGTCTGCCCGACTCACCAGACTCCGCCGAGGCGTGTGACGACCGCCAGTGGCCGGCCGGCTCTCAGATCCTAGAGCTGACCGCGCCGCAGGCGGACGCCATCCGCGAGGCGGCGCGCTCCAGTTCATCGGGCTCGGAGTCCGACTGTGAGCGGCGCGACCGGCTGCTACAGTTCGCCGAGACGGCGCTCGGCAGCGTGGCCTGTCTGAGCGGCTCGTTCCTGCCGGCCGGTCCGCGGCACGTCTGCACCTCGCTGCAGCCCAACCTGGACCTGTCCGCCTGCCAGCGCGCCATGCAGACCCTGTACGGCGTCACTAGTGAGCCGTTCGCCGAGGTGGTGCACGCGCGGCTGGCGGCGGTGCCGGCCGCGCTGCCGCCGCGGCCCGCCGACCCGGAGGCGCTGCGCGCGCTGCTGGTGCTGCTGTGCTGGCCGGGCCTGGAGCAGCTGGCGCAGCCGCTGGGGGACGCGCTGCTGGCCGTCTCGGAGCTGGACTGGGCCGTGCTGAGCGGCTGGCTGCGGCAGCTGCCGGCGCCGCCACTGCTGGCCACCATCGGCGTCTTCAAGGCGGCCGTGCTGCGGCTCATCAAGCGCGCCGACACGCTGACGCAGTGTTCGGACGGCAGCTGGCGGCTGGGCGGCCGGCTGCAGGCCACGCTGCGCGTGCTGCGCCGGCTGCACGGCGCGCTGCTGGAGCAGCCGCGGGGCCGCGGCCGGCCGGCGCTGGCCGTCACCCCGACCACCACCCCGACCACCACCCCCACCGGCGCCGGGCCCGGGCCGCCGTCCGGCGCCGTCACCGACGAGTCGTTCTACATGCCCGAGCTGACGGACCTGGTGAGCGTGCCGCTGGACTACGTGGGCTGGCAGCTGGCGTCGGGCGGCGCCGGCGGCGACCGCTACTTCTGCCACTTTCCGTTCGTGTTCGACGCAGCGGCCAAGACGCAGCTGCTGCAAACGGACGCGCTGCTGCAGATGCGCTCGGCCATGGAGCTGGCGGCGCACCAGCAGGTGGCGGCGCTGCTGACGGGCCGCGTCAGCAGCGGACAATTCCTGCAGCTCACCGTCAGCCGCCGCCGGCTGGTCGAGGACACCCTCCAGCAGCTGTGGCAGCTGACACAGGACGACCTCAAGAAGCCGCTGCGGGTCCGCTTCGAGGGCGAGGAGGGCGAGGACGCCGGCGGCGTGCGCAAGGAGTTCTTCTTAGTGCTGACCCGGGAGCTGCTCGACCCCAAGTACGGCATGTTTAGTGAGTTTGGCGAGACCAACACCATCTGGTTCAACCCGGACTCGCTGGAGGAGGACGTCATGTACCTGCTGATCGGCATCGTCTGCGGCCTGGCCATCTACAACAGCACCATCGTCAACCTGCCCTTCCCGCTGGCGCTCTACCGCAAGCTGCTCGACCAGCCGCTCTCGCTGGACGACCTGGCCGGCCTCTCTCCGATGACGGCTCGCTCTCTCTCGGACGTCCTCAGTTACACCGGAGATGACCTCGAGGAGACCATGTGTCTGACGTTCGAGGTCACCCGCGAGACCTTCGGACACGTGCAGACCATCGAGCTGAAGCCGGGCGGCTCGAAAATCGCCGTCAACCAGTCCAACAAACACGAGTACGTCGACCTGTACATCGACCACATGCTCAACACGTCCATTCAGAAGCAGTACCACGCGTTCCACGAGGGCTTCTACAAGGTCTGCGGCTCCAAGGTGCTGCAGCTGTTCACGGCGCCGGAGTTGATGACGCTCGTCATCGGAGACGAAAACTACGACTGGCAGGCGTTCGAGCAGAACGCCGAGTACCGTGAGGGCTACCAGAGAGACTCGCCGCCCGTGAAGCTCTTCTGGCAGGTGAGTCGAGCGGAGCAGCTGCGGGGGAGGGCTAGGGGACGGGTGGGCCCTGGTAGCGGGGAGCCGAGCTAGTGGGCCCTAAACGGGTGGCCTAGCCGGGCAGGTATTGATAGCTCATAGCGATGTGCTGAGGGACATACTGGGCACACATACTATGACGTGATCTTGACTGGGTTGCCCGAGTTTCGGTTTAGTATCTTGTCAATATAGCGCTCCTTGAGGCGTCTTGTTATTCCGTGCCTAGCTATCCTGCGGTCGCGAGGCTCACATTTCTCCTTTTCTGGCGTGCATTCGTTGGAAACTGGGCATAATAACTATTCTGAGCGACCTTCCAAGTTTGGCTACGTACGAATGTCCAAAGTCCAAGTATGTCCAAGTACGAATGAATAAATTATCAGATCAGCTCTACCGGAAACGGTGCCTCGTGTCTTATATTTAATGTGAACTTTCTAAATTCCTAAATGAGTTCCTAAAAATAAAAATCTAAATGAGTGTGCGGCATAATGTCTCGTTATTAAGATTTTAGCGCTCAAACATCATTCGGAGGTGTTGCATGCTAACCGAGGACCGGTCACGCCGCTACGGTCGCCTGTGCCATCAAATGACACATTCATTCGTCAGGAGTTGGACTATTGCTGGACAAATGTGCGTGTCATGAACTTCTACACAACTGTAGGTACGCTCGTCAATCGCGGTCCGCCCAACTTTGCAGCGTGGTCTGTCGCGGGAACGCGCGGCCTACCGATGTATTGACTACTTCGTGTCCTTGCCGGTCTTACATGGAGAACTGCACCACAGTGGGCCGTTGATTTTTGCCAGAGGTCGTTACGTAGACACCGGTAGAAGCCAATGGCCCGCCAAAGTCCCATGATCACAGGACTGGCCATTTTGTCCATGTAGGCTACGATACAAGCGCTGCTTCAGAATGGGTACTCAGAACCGGCCAATCTAGTGTTCATATTGTCGCAGTCGACGCTAATGTTACCCTCCACATCCAACTCATCGGTCAAATGTCCCTACGGGCTCGGTGAATACTTTCTGACATTTGCATTCAATAGCTTTCATTAATTATTTATAATATGCTATGAACAGTGGACTTCGAAACCAACGTGTCCCATTCGGAGCCATTGTTTTTTTTTTAATACTTAGTAAAGGACCACTAGTTGATTTGTGTTTTAGTCTGGGCGCCCAAAAACCCCAATTCATCATCATCATCATGATTTGTGTGGTGTTGGAGGGGTGAGCAAACAAAGCCTGCTAAGGCAGTATTAGTCCATATTAATAACCTTTTCCCTGGGCTGCCTGAATAGTTTCCGTGCACGGAAATTTATCGGCAGTAATCACTGATTGACTTCCGATGAACCACCGTTAATACCCATATCATGCCGGAAAGCATCAATATAATCACACATCGAGTGTCGAGCGGCATGTGCAAGTGGTCCGGTATTTCAATAATAAACAAGGAAACGGTATCGCCGATGCCGTAAATGGGACAACTGAACAGTGATCAGGGGATAGTTTGTGTGCTTACCATACCATAATGATCGATCTGTGAACTCAAAATAAGCACTCGCCTTACGATAGATACTAGAGATGCACCAAATTTGCAATTTCATTACCCGCCCCGCCACGCAGCTACCCCTTGCCCAACCACAACTACCCGCAAGCTGATTTTGGCTGAGCCGAACCCGCAAAAAACCCGCAATTTTAAAAACCTGCCTTTGCAAGGAAAAAATACAGCTGGGTCAATGCCAGAGCTATATAAACCTTACTTGCTTCATTGTTGTGCAGAAAAAGACAGCCAAACAAATAGTAAGGACTTGAAATTGCTATGCTAAGTCCTCAGGAAGTGCACACTGGATAATGGAAAACGAATAATGCATCAATACATTTGAAATTCCTTTCTGAAAAGAATTCAGTAAAATCTTTCTCTCACCTTACCCTTCAGCATTGGCTGAGGATCAAAATTTCACTCTGGTTCCTCTCAATGTTAGGCTTCTGGAATGATACTGTTATCAAAATGAATGTTGATATAAAAAGATATGCGATTTCCAGTTAAAAATAAATAGTGACACGGTGAATAATGCGTATCCAGTCGATCTACACATAAAACAAATCATGCAAAAGCCCAGCAAAAACCAACTAACCAATGAACCACGCATTTTTGGAAACATGCGTCAGAAGCGTCACCAACAGCTGATTGCAAGGAATGTTACAGCGACTAAATTATTGCAGCCGTAGTTAGTGCGAACTTGTTGCGAAAACACCGTTGTATAATGCATATTAATGTGCCATTCTGATAATATTATTTTACACAACAGCTAAAATAAAATATAATAATTTTATAGTTGGTCTTGGTAATGCTCTCCGGCTGGTCCTTTCTCGGCAATCGGCATACAAATGATAAGGACGTAAAAAGACAAAAGAAATAAATGCGACCAGCTACGTGGTTTTGTAACATGTATAACTGCTATTTTGAGGTATTCAATAACCAAGACAAAAATTGATTGTAAAATTATTATTGCGTCATCAATGACAGGTTTCCTTCGCCTCAGAGACCAAAATTGACGCAGTCAAATGCCAATCCTTGTCAGAATGTGGAAAGTGCGCCAGTATTGTATTGCGTTATGTTTGGGCCGCATGCCAGTCAATATTTTGATTTTTTTAAGGGTAATTGCAGGTAATTGGTGTGTTATTTTCGTAATATAGGGTGGGACAGAACAAAGAGTAGGATAGGTAATCAATGAATTTGCATCAAATTTTGTTTAGCTCTTTTTTATGCCGACCAGTCACAAATAAAGTAACATGTGGCATATGCTCTGATTTTCAACATCAACATCTCATTTTAGTCTGGGTTCTTCCATAATGTATATCTAGTGCACACTGCACATAGACTTCAGTTCAGCTTCCTATAAGTTTGCTTTCAGGTTCTTTTATGTTTTATGGAATGCTTTCATCAGCATTTAGTTATGCTTTGTAGTTTGTAGTTTGTAGTGTTTGTAACCTGGTTTGGTCATTGCTAGACTGTGGAGTGTGGATGCTATTGCTGGTTGTTTTCAGTTTTGCATTTGAAATGTGCTTCCTTGATATATTTTTATATTTGTTTCTGTTTTAAAAGTTGTTTTGATGAATATTGTATTGTTAACCTGAGCAAATGCACTTGGCATTGTGTTTTGCATCTAAAAAATAAATAAAAAATTATAGGTTATAAAGTCTGACCGCCAAATACCCGCCACACGACAAGTTTTGCTTCTCGAACCCGCCAAAAACCCTGCGGGTTTTGAAAACCCGCAGAAAGCGGGTTTGCGGGTTCAAAAAGGGCATCTCTAATAGATACCACTAGTCTTTACAGAGTGTAGGTACTAAGATATCTAACTTCATATCTGCATCATTTAATAATCGTCTCCATGCGATGCAGTGTGCGTGCTTAGTGCCCTCCTGGCGTGACCCATGCAGATTGGATGCTGTTTGGCGATCGTGGTGATAAATCCAGAGTACAAATATCAGTTGACGTGTCGCGTGCCGTTCTACCGAAACGTGCTGCTGAATGACAGCGGCCTAACAGCATAGAAACTTTTTATCTGCGCTGCTGCATATTACAATGAATCGAGGGTAATTTACAGGGTGGAAAGTAATTACGCGAACATGTATTTTCTTACAATTTCGCCCGTCAGTGGAGATTTTGTATGAGCGCGGGCTGTTATGGAACACGACTGGTCGTGTTTGTTGTCGCCTCATCTAACAAAAGTGACCTTACTTTGAAAAATGACTTGGAAGGTCTACAACACCTCTCGGCTTCGAGTGGTGCTGACGCCATACGCTGCTCAAGACCAAAATGGGCAAAGAGCTCAATTTGAAGTTGCCAGGGAAAGCGTTTGTGATTATTTTGGCTGGATTGGTGCGGAAGGGATTCTGAACGGTCTCGGCACCAGCATTACTCAATTACACGTTTGGTTGAAGCATAATAAAACTTAACCCGCGCCCCGTAGGGGGGGGGGGCCGAAACGGCCCCCCCCCCTGTCCTTTTCGGTCGATATCTCCTAAACGGCTGGAGATATCGCCACCAAACTTTCAGGACCCCTCCGGGCATCAATTTTACACATTGTGACCAAAATTTTTTTTCCATAGGCTATGATAGGTTGGCCACAAATGACGTCAGAGTGACGTCATGTTCTGTCATTTTCGACCGAAAAAAGACCTTCGCGAGAAGACCTGTCAGGACTACAGCTTTGAAGATACAGAAAAAATGATCAGGACATAAAAGGTGTAGAATTGACAGGGCTACAAAACTGCTATCTCGAATTTTTGAAATTTTTGAGTTTTGACCCCAAAAAATCAAAAAAGCATTTTTTTGGATATATTCACCAAAAAATCCAAAAAGCTTTTTGAGTTTCGAAAAAACCGGAATATATGTGATAGTGCCTACCGTCTTCTATCTACATACCAAATTTCAGATCGATACCTCGTTTTTTGGCCAAGTTATAGCGAAAAAACTGTTCAAAAATGATGACGTCAAATTTTCAAACTCAATTTTTGGCAATTCTAGAACTCGTAGAGCAAAACGAAGACCACCATTAGACTCCCCGTGACGAGCTGCATCGAATTGATACCCATTTTATGGAAAAATATCAACTTTGAAATTTGACCTAATTTGACCTGACCTTGACCTGACCTTCACAAAAACGTGACCTAGGCTGGCCCCAAAGGCTGCCTAACCCACATAATCGCATTTGTCATGTAAAATGGACCATAAAACATGTATCACACGACACATTCATATTGTGACCCCCGGTGACCTGACCTCGCTGTGACCTGACCTGGTATCAGTGACCTCAGATAGCAAAGTATGTGTTTGACGAACAATATACCATCGATGGTTTTCAATAAATTACCAATTTACTCGCTTTCACAGCACATTTCTTGAATTGCCTGTGAACGGTGAAAATCTGACATTTGACCTGACCTGTGACGTCATCGGTTTGACCTAGGTCAATAAAATTTGGTCACAAGGTAGTTCCCGGGTGGGGCTATCGAGCGCCGTTTGAATTTTGAAAATCGGCCGGTAACTTTCCGAGATCTTAGGGGGGGGGCCGAAACGCCCCCCCCCCCCCTACGGGTGGTAGGGTCCGCCGGTAGCCCTACGGGGCGCGGGTTAAGAGGACTTAAAAAGCAAAGCCGTTGGCGGCAGTAAAACCTCGGCGAATTCAGGCGCCGAATGGGTGGTCACCATTTCCGCGACCAAACGACAACAGTCGACCCGAAAACAGGCGAAATGGTTTACTTTGGCCGGGTACCCGATCTAAGATATCACGATTCATACATAAATCCGTGAAAATTCGAAAATCAAGCCGTACAAACAATCGAGATGGCCAAAATTCATGAACTAACAGCAGGATTGTCGATTTAAGTTTTCTAAAGACCGCCAAACCTGAACAGAGGAGGACAGGCAGCTGGCTTTGTGGTTGGGTGAGACATCTTCGAAGCTATTTCATCCGTCAAACCTGCAGAACAACGCGTTGGGGGCTGCTGATGCGTCCGACGTCCCGCCCGTCCCAACCTTCAAACATCCGGCAAAGGAACACACATCAGCGTGTTATGAGCGCCCGGATGGTGTCAGAATTGCATGTAGTGACCAACGAGGCCACCAAAAATAAAGTATACAACTAGTGGAACATCCTTCCAGACGAGTCTCTTTATCTAATCCATCAATGCACCAAAAGGGGCAAAATGATTGAGCGCACTTTTGTGCCCGACGCAAAGAAACTCTTCTTCATGATTGATAAAGTCCTTCCTCTCACGGCCAAAAAGACGCAAGACTGGTGCTTTGAGAACCCGTTCTTCTTCTGGGCATATAATGGTCAATCTGGGAATAGCCCAGACCTCAATTTGATCAAAAATATCCAGGCGACTCTTCAGGAGAGCGTCTAAGAGCTGCTAGTAGCCACCAAAATCGATTGCCTCACCAGACAGCTCCAGGAGGCGTGGACTAAGCTTTGGCCAACAGTGCTTGACATGCTCATGCCAATTATGCCTGAACGCCTTTGTCAGTGTATCGCACATAAAAAGGAATATATGAAAAGATGAAATGTTCATGTCACCGCCGCTTTTTCCATTGCTATAAGACGAAAAAGTATGTTCGCGTAATTACTTTCCACCCTGTACACTACTTCATCTTCTGTATAATAGATGTTTGTTCAATTGGAAACCTGGTTGGGTATCAGATACGCTCAACGTTCAGCATTGATGGGCCCGGCATTCATTTGTGATTTGCGATTGAGGCTCCCCAGTCTCAGTTCCGTCCCGTCTCTCCCCTTCCCACCCGCACCCCCTGCTGACCGCGGCGCCGCCCCCCCCCCCCTTCCCCTCGGCCAGGTGTTCCACTCGCTGACGCTGCAGCAGAAGAAGCAGTTCCTGCTCTTCCTGACCGGCACCGACCGCGTCCCCATCACCGGCATGAAGTCCATCAAGCTGTACATCCAGCCGGCGCGCGGCGGCGACACCTTCCTACCTGTGGCGCACACCTGCTTCAACCTGCTCGACCTACCCGAGTACGCGACGGCCGAGAAACTGCGCTACAAACTGCTGCAGGCGATACAGTGCACCGAGGGGTTCGGACTCGTGTAGCGCTCAGGGACTGCGGGCAGGTGAGTCGCTGAGTCAGCGAGATTGTGAGTCGGTGACTCGCTGAATCAGTGAGTCATTGTGAGTCGGTGAGCGGGACTGGCGTTGGCCGAGATCCCCGCTCATGCAGCCGGCCCGTGTTCAAGCTCTGCGTCTCGTTCGAGCCGGCACAGTTGTCTCTGCGCGCCCCGTTCGAGCTGGCGTGGCCTACAGCCGTCACTACCGCTGGTGACTCCAGAGGCGGTGCTGGTGGTGACTGGTGTCGGTGCTGGTGCACACAGTGGAGTGTGTACTCGACACCATTTAGAGCTTCAGTCCTGGCTACCTCAGTACGGCAGTATAGTGAATCAGAGATGTGCAGAGGCCTTGTCCGCCTTATGTGTAAAGCCAAAGCACAGCCAGTAAGGAGACACATTTTGAGCAAGGCGATCACAATTATATTTACTCAAACCAAACGGTTGCTGATTTTCATTAATATTTTATTCATTTTTATGATAAATTTGCTTGTCGTGATTTTGCTGAGGGTGTGTGACTTATCATCGTTGACGCTCCCTCCACAAACTAAAAGCAGAGCGGGTGTGAGATGCAGTGCAGCTGCTGGTAACTAACCAGAAGCTATTAACTAACGTGAGACTGGTTTAGTGACAATGTCAGAAGATAGTGTGTTATAGTGTGCGCGGTATGACGTTTTCATTGTGTGCGTTTTCGGCTCTGCTCATCCGCTGTGAACTGCCGATTTGCATGGGAATGGGTCGTGATGTATCTAATCAGTGATGTCCCAATGTAGGCTTCTCTCGAGTTCCGAGAAATTCTTATCATTTGGCAATTACTTGTTATGATGAATGGTCAACAAACATTACTTGGCTGTCAGCTGCTGGGTTTCAAAACATGCAAACTCGACTCATTGTAAGCGTTCTGTATACTCAGTGAGCGATAATTGTTCCGTATTTTTGCAATACTGATGAGACTGATGATCGAGTGCGCCGGGATTTGGCCTTATCTTGCACTGTCGCACGGTCGAGTGATATCGGGAAGTTTGCCCTTCCGCAGAGCAGAAAAGAAAGCGGTATCCGACTGTACGGGCGGCGCAGCGTACTGCGTGGTGCTTTCTACATGACAAAGGGCAGTGTTGTTATAGGCTGAGGCCGTGGCGTACCCGCTGTTGCCTCCTCCCCGGTGCCTACTCTCTGTGGTGCTGTGTGTGACGCCGTGTAACGCCGTGTGGTGCCGTGTAATGCCGTGTGGTGCCCCGTAACGCCATGTAACGCCGTGTAACGCCGTGTGAGGCCAGGAGAGGCCAGTGATACCCTGTGTTGTGTTGTGCGGCGCAGCTGGATAACCGATAAGCGTGTTCTCAGAAGGGCTTCCCAGAGACAGTCGTAACCCGTCCAGACGCAGCCTCGAGCCGCTATCAAACGGGACGCCGTACTCACAGCGGCGCTATGTGCACGGTTGTACGTGAGGTCTCAGCACCGAGCTAATCTATGCGGAAACTGCTGTGTGATTTTATCCATGCCCTGGCCGCTAGATAGATAGATAGATAGTTTATTGACACTGCACTCTTGATAAAATACACACAATACATAAAATACAAAATTCTATACATAATGCAATACACTAAAAATATACATAAAAAGGATAAAACTCGAGTGAAAACGTGTCCATTAAAATAACAAAATACAAATATGAGCACCGCGGACATGGCGAAGCACAATCTAAATACATATTATGAATCATACTTTTCAAGAATGTTCTTACATAGCCTTGCGAGATCTAAAGGGTGTGCATCCATAAGGACAGTTAGACCGGAAAAATTTAATCTGGGGAAATGTTCTCGAAGTGAATTTGATTCTGGGCAGTCTAAAAGTACATGTTTCTCTGTTTGCACTGACCCGCACGTGCACAGCCTTTCTGTCTCTGGTATGCGCGACCACCTCCCCGTTTCTATTTTTAACCTGTGTGAACCTAAACGGATTCTTGTAAAAGCGATGCGCTCGTTTTCAGGTACATTTGCCTCATACATACGGTGTCGCGCGACATTCTGATTAAACTCACGGTATGTTGTCATTCGCGTCGATGTTGATTCTAAAATTTTACAGCGTAAGGTTTCCATGTTTCTTTCTCTAAGTGACCCGATTTCTTCCGTTTGTAGGGAGTTGACATAACGGCCAGCTTGTGAGCCCGACTGCACTGATAAATGCATGGCTAACTGGGCGGGACTGCCCTCGAAATCATCTCGTGATGTCAGCTTTCCTAGAAATTTAATTTGGTTCTCTTTAATCACTGTCTCTAAGTCTGGGTATCCCAACTCTGCGTGAACAAGGTCACTGCTTGTCTGATTCCTGACTGACAATAGCTGTTTTTCCGCGGACAATACCGCCGTCGAGGCATGCTTAAAATCGTTGCAAAGCCAGCTTTCACAGCCAGCTATTGCCAGTATTGCACTACAGAGAGCACTTTTGAATACCATCTCCTTGACAGGAAATGGCGCGTCTTTGTTTTTCTTAAAAAACGCGGAAAATTTCACTAAATGACTGCGCTTAAAATCTATGTGGGCTTTGACTTGATTACGCAAAGTTGCATTGCTGATTGGTGTTCCAAGATAAATGTACTCATCTGTGTGACTGATGGATACGTTATCGAAAACAAAAGGAACAGTGTCCCCTGCGTTAATCGCCATAAACTTTGACTTCTGCGGGTGTATTTCCATTCTAATGGTGCCAACTTCGCGGTGCAATAGTGCTAGCTTTTGTTTCATGGCATCTCTGGATGTGGCTAAGACAACTGTATCGTCCATGAATAGCAGCGAATGGGTGTTACTGAGAAAACCGTCAGGTCCAAACGTCTTTATGGCTCTGACCGTACTGTTGATATAGAAAGTGAAAAGGGAACAGCTGTTTGCTGCGCCTTGTTTTACCCAAACCGAAGACGTAAATAAACCTTGCCCTAAGGCATTTTTGCTAGCCTGCAGACTGTTAGCCACTGCTGTTAGATATTTCATGCCGCACCCCTGATCAGCCACATTTGCTTCATTGGAGCCTGTGGGTTGCCAAGCACTCTTGGCCGGTAGAGTAGTTTAGTCATTGCAGGATGTCAGCGACATATCAAAATCCGAGTGCCGCAGTCATGTTATCGCTCGTGTGGGTTTCACTGTATTTGAGTTTAGCCTATTGTGGTACTGAATAACGTGGTCAGTGATCGTGTTTATGGCGCTTCGTGTATTGCTCTGCATCACCTCGTAAAGTCTCTGTGCCAGTTCGCCTGGTGCGCACACGTTTGGTGAGAGTGTTTTACCGGTCGGTGAGAGTGTGAGATTCTGACGGCTGCTGTGATGTGCTCACCGTCGGAGTGGGACGGACCCGGCCACGGGGCGGTGGCGTGCCCCGGTCCGCGCCGACCGCCCGCGGCCTGCTGTCGCCGCCCAGTTGTTTATGTTCGGCAGTGTTATTAGTGATATAATAGCCTGGACCGCCGGACTGTTCAATACACAACTGGTATCGAACCGAACTTGTGAGCGAATGGGCAGCCAACAGAGGGTGTCCGAAAGTGGTTCCTGAGTGTTTTCAGGCTACGCAGGAGACCGCTGGACTTATTTTTGGTTTCAGCTTGGACTTTTAATCAGATGATAGCAATGCAAAGGCTGCGACATTTCGTGTCACGAGTTTCCCACCAGCTAGATAAATATATGGTTATCCAACCAATTCAACGTCTGTAAAACATAAACGTTTGTGATCCTGCGCTGCTTGTAGCTGAAAGGTTATAAGCACCGATTAATTACATCGAGTTCAGCGCACCCAGCTCCAGCGTTCCGATGCGCTCAGCTGCCCCTGCGTTTCGCCCTTGCCTTGGTTTCGCCACTCGCCACCTCTCTGCACCTCCAGCTCCACCGCGGCTGAATACACCTGCGGGGGTAGGCAGCCCGCAGTGGTCCGGTGTCGTGCGGGACAGCCTACCCGGTCAGGCACGCCAGCCGGCTCCGAGCGCGTTCCGCCGGGCTGTTCCTTATAACGTTTTACGTTCTATCGGTTCAATTCTGGTAGTTTGACCGCTGACCGAGCCGGCAGGGCGTGAATTTGCTGGATATTATAGTGGTTTGTAAGGACTCATTTCATACGGCTGAAAATCGCTATGCTTGTTTGTAAAAACTAAAATATGGGTAATATTTCTAGCATTCGTACTTGTTCGATTCTCATCATCCTTCTTTTTTTACCTCAATCGTTGCTTTTTAATTATTGCGCTTTAACAGCATTCAGGTTCAGCCGGGCCAGAGAAGAATTTATTGGACCAGGTTAGCCAAGTCGAGCCAAATAACCCTCACATTGCGTCGCTCGGACTCGTGTCCCCGATCAGACCGTGTACCCGTGTTCTCCGCGAACCTTTTCAGACTTGTACTTAGTTGTACTTGTTGGGTTAGGGCGTATAGCCTCGTCCGGCCGCGCTCAAGCGTCTGTAGTTGTTGTCATCAGTGCGCCATTCTTGTCTCGATCGAGTAGTTAACCCTCGCATGTGTGCGGCGTTTTCCAGCTTCATAATGTGTAGGGGGGGGGGTCGGTTGGACCCCCCCTTGCCGTTTGGCCCCTGATCGAGCTAGAGCTTCGCGGAAAAAACGAGCGTGTAGCCCGTGACGAGAGGAAGCCGATGATACCCAATTTTAAGGTCCTAGGTCATTGGTTGACCTTCCAGGTCAGGTCAATGACCCAAAGTCGGGAAAATCGGGACCTATTAGAAAGTCGTAAAGTGTGGCTGCTAAGGGGTTTTTCGGGGTGCTGATCACGAATATCGTGTTAGTTTTGATCACAAATGATGTCTTTAACCCTCGCCCGCACATGCCATTTTCCCATCCTAGAACGCACATGGGGGGGGGTGGTTGCCACCCCCCCCCCCCGCGCCATTTCGTTCCTGTTGGAGATAGAGCTTAGCAGTAAGACCAAAAAGATTCTTTGGGAAGAGACGAATCCAATGATACCCAGTTTTACCTTCTCAGGCGAGTCATTGACCTTCCAGGTCAGGTCAAACTAAAAAATATTGCTGTTTTGGGTCACCGTTGGATATCAAGTGCGCTGCTTATCAAATACCGATGACGATGCTGTTTTCTGGTGCCAAGCCAGCTAGAACCTCTTTGTCACACTATCCGACCAGAATTTTGCTGCTGAGGTCATTTCAGGTCAAGTTAGGTCAAGGTCAATTATATGTGTATGTATGTCTGTGTGTGTCTGTGTGTATACTGATGTGTGCACCGATTGTTTTTGGGTCGATATCACATAAAATCATGACCTGAGAAGCTTTTACCAAAAATGCAGTCAAAAAACTTCACAAAAAGTAAATTCAGCTTGCCTAAAACGCAATTAACTTAGATGACCTAGGTTGACCTTGACCCTGACCTTGACCCCTGTACATCGTCGAACAGCATGTTCCATGATAGGTGGGAGGTAAGACTGGCAAAAAAGGCCGAAATCAGGGTGTCAAAAGCTCACAAGGCCCATGGCAAACGCAAGATGTTGAGAATTGGCCATTTGGGTCATGACATGACCTGAAAAACAAGGTCATATCTCCGAAACCAAAAATCACAGAAACTTGAAATTTTCAGTGGACATCAAGAAAGGATAGACGAGCAGCTATACGAAAAATCAGCCTTCTAGCTCTAAAAATGTTGAGTGCAGAGCAGAAAGACTGCCTGGGGGGGGGGGGGTGGCAACCCCCCCCCCATGTGCGGGCGAGGGTTAAGTATTTAGACCAGGTCGGGTCAGGTCAGGTCAGGTCAACCAGTAGGCGTCGTGACGGGTATTCGTAGTACGTGTCAACCGCCTCTGACAGCTTCGTAACATGTTACGAAGGCACCAAAACTACTTCGTAAATGTTCAAATGGTTGCTAAATTCGAATTCAGCTCCAAAAACTAGCCTGGAAACATGTAAAACTCGAAAAAGTGAACCGAGGTCACCCGAGGTCACCAAAGGTCAATGACCTGACCTGACCTTCAGGTGACCTTGACATTCACCCTAATGCAACATCACATCACATGTTTGAACGTTTGAAACCACGAAAAGCTTGCAAACGCGCGGCTAATGCGAGCCGACGTACGCCGAATCGCGATTCCGGCCAAACATGGTCTCGGAAAAGAGGTCACAGGTCAAAGGTCATTTGGGTCAGGGTCATGAAATTTTCAGGGTAGGTGTAAAATTGATCAATGTGAGGGCATTGAAAGTTTCGTCGCGATCGGCCGCTTTTTACGCGAGTTATTCGCGAAAAACCATGGGGGGGGGGGGGGTCCATCCGACCCCCCCTACACATGCGAGGGTTAAATGTTGCAATCGGTTGCAGCCAGATGGTTCAGCGGGAAACTAAGCAGATGAAGGAAAATGGTAGGTTTTGCATGTGGTTATATTCGGGCTTTGGATGACGTCCAGGCAATATATGTCCGGTGGAGTATAATTTGTGAGTTAGGTTCTTACACAGAACTGATAAAAACTTAAAAATTAAGAAACAAAAAAGATGGTTTCTGGTTATGAGTCATTCAATCATTAACGTTCTTGACCTCGCATCTGTCCAGCGAGCCATTCAGTTCAAATAGATCTTCAGGCAATGTCTGCTCTTGTACCTCACTCCACTCAGATATCGACTTGCGTTGGAAGTTTCATGTCTCATGATCATACCGAACCTCTACTTCGGAACTGTGTGACTGCTTCTACAAAAGAAGGGACCGGATCGTACAAAAGATTAACGAAGGTATACGTTCAAGAGAAATATAAAAAAAAAACTACAGAAGCAAACCAGTTAGGGTAAGGCGCCT